AGTATCTAAAAAGGGTTTTATACCATTAAGATTGTCTGGAATGGAAAGAGAAAGCTATGGTCTTTTTGCTTTCAAACATTTATTGAGCACCTGATATGATTCTGATAGAGTTAAGAAATGACTACCCCAATGTTCATAGCAGCACTATTTACAAGAGCCAAGACATGGTAACAGCCTAAATGTCCGTCAACAGATGACTGGATAAAGAAGATGTGGTACATTTATACAATGCAATAATATTCAGCCATAAAAACCAACAACATAATGCCATTTGCAGCAACATGGATGTTCCTGGAGAATGTCATTGTAAGTGAAGTAAGCCAGAAAGAGAAAGAAAAATACCATATGAGATCGCTCATATGTGGACTCTAAATAAATTAATAAATTAATAAATACAAAACAGAAACAGACTCATAGACATAGAATACAAACTTGTGGTTGCCAAGTGGGTGGGGGGTGGGAAGGGACAGACTGGGATTTCAAACTGTAGAATAGATAAACAAGATTATACTGTACAGCACAGGGAAATATATACAAGATCTTATGGTAGCTCACAGCGAGAAAAAAAGTGACAATGAATATATACATGTTCATGTAGAACTGAAAAATTGTGCTCTATACTGGAATTTGACACAACATTGTAAAATGACTATAACTCAATAAAAAATGTTAAAAATAGTTAAAAAAAAAGAAATGACTAAATATAGTCATTTCAGGGACTGAGTTCAACTGCACAAAACAGAAAACCCCTGAGAGGTGAAAGAAAGGGTTCTTTTTCTCTCACATAACTAGAAGTCTGGAGGCAAGTAATTCAGGGCCTGACTGCCTCTCCATAGAGTCATCAGGGATTCAGATCCCCTCCAGGCTTGGGCTCCCCCATTCATAGTATCTGGCCCTTGACCTTGGACTTACAAAATGGAAGCTAGAGCTTCAGCATTCATGTCATCATTCCAGTCAGCAAAAGGGAAAAAGAGCCAAGAGCAAAAGAGTTTGCACTAGTTGAGTCTGCCAGTTAGATTAGTTGAGTCACCTTGCTTCACACTCCATTGGCCAGAATTGAGTCATGCTGTCTACAAGGGACTCCGAGAAAATACTGTTTCAGCTGAGCATGCCACTGTCCCAATAAATCAGGAGTCCGTTCGTGAGGAAGACGGAGAGAATAGGTGCTGGGTGGCCACCCACAGCCCTGTCTTCCTGGAGTGATAATCAAGCAAGGGAAGGAGCGTCCCAGAGACAGCTGGCACACAGGTCTTCTCTGTGCCTTAGTTTGGGTGCTCACCCCACCCTTGCCCCCAGCTGAACCTGTGACAAGGACTTGGGAGCAGGTATCTGGGAGATGATTCCCAATAGGCGTGCGGGAGAAGAGAGAATGAGATTAAGGAGGAGGAAAAGCCAACAAAAAGACACATTGTCAAGGTCGTTGCTGTGGGCGATGAAGGCTCACAGTCATGGGGACATCTGGGCAGCTCACAAGGCATCTGCAGACGTCACCTGAAGGGTGGGAGGCTGGAGAAGTTACTCACTGGCTCCATCTCTTGTTGGTTGAGGGTTGCCCCAGGTGGTGTTCACTCCCCCTCACTCTCAAGCTGAACTTAATCAGACTAGGGGGGCCACCACCCACCCCTAAATGAGGGAAGATCCTGGGGCAGGAGGTGGGTAGAGCCCTCTGCCCGGGGCCTGGCTGGGCAATCTGAAACCGAACTTGCAGGGAACTGTCCAGCAAGAGGCGGATGAAATGAGAAGTGGGCTGAGGTGTGAAGTGGAGACGCAGGCATCAGAGGAATCTCCTTCTCAGAAACAATTAGGCTCAATGATAACATCTAATCATTGGTTCAGATATGACCTTTGGTCATCGCTGTCCCATGTCAGCGGCATGGGATTTGATTTCTAACAAAGTAACATTCTGCATGTCATGAGAGAGACAGAGTGGTGTACTCTGACGGTTTCGGGTGGGGCAAGGAGAAGGGAACAGAGTGGTTTAAGGGCGAATAAACTAATGCACGAAATTTAAGGAAACTGGCAAAAAATAGTTGACATTTACTTATGAGTCTTCAGTAAGAGAAATACGTCAGGCACAAAATCCGGGCAGGGCTTGGACAGAGAGAACACCCAGGTGGGTTATCTCTTACAATAAGAATCTTCTTGTTATAGTTTATTATAACAAATTGAAAACAGGCACCCAACACGTGCCAACAACATATGGAAACACTGACAGAGACTTCCGTGTCTCATAATTGTTAATAAAGTCTTTATAGAAGACTCAATTAAAAGGTAAGGCTGTATCTGTGCGGCTCCCCCAGGAAAGTGGAGGGCAGAGTTGAGAGAAGACCAAACCAACACTCACCAGCAGTGAGGGTTCCTCTGAGGGTGCAGGTTTGAAGTGCCAGGCCCATCTGCTCTCTCTCTCTCAAGGATGCACATAATCAGAGGACAGAACTAGAGAAGACGGTCAGTGTTCAGCCCGGGGCCAAGCACAGAGCAGAGAAAAGAGCGAGCAGCCTTAGCTTTGCAGGTAAGACGAGTGCCCCTGAAACCACAGAACAGGACAGCAGAAACACACCTCTGGGTGTGACCCTGAGGGTGAGGAAGAGAAGCCCCCAAAAGAATGAGGATTGTGCTTTCCCCAACCTGGGGCATGGGTGGTTTAGCATCAGAAATGAAGTCATGCTGTTGAAAATAAATAGCAGTATTTCTCATGCCTCTCGGTTCACAGACTCAGATGCATTTTTTCCTTCTAGTAGAAATTGTCAAATGATGAGACGACCCGCGAACACTAGGAATACATGAGCATGCGCTCCTCCCAATTCTTTCTGCTGAATTTGGTATCTTTTTAATTCCTGTCAATCTGAAGTCTCATTTTGATCTGCATTTCTCTGACTTCTCAGAAGGCTGCAATCTTTTCATATGTTTATTAGCCATTTGCATTTTCTCTTCAGTGAATTTCTATTCATATCTTTCACCTAATTTTCTAAGAAGTAAATCATCTTTTTCTTATTAATGTGAAAGTATTCTTTGCTTAGAATTGACAGTAACTTTTGCCAAAGGCAAGTGTTTTCTTCCTGTTTGTCTTCTGACTTTGCTCATGGTGACTTTTTGCATACTAAATTTCAGGTTGCCCATCTTGTTAAGAAGATCTTTCTACCCCAAAGTTGTATAAATATTCTAAATTTTCTTCTATTTTATATCATATTTCTTCTATCTCATTCACACAGGCACAGTCATGCTCACACTCAGATACAGTTAGAAGACAGTTAGATAGATCATTAATCCATCCGGGATTTCTGTGTGGTGACATGGTGCGGGGGACTCAGTGTGTCCAGAGTTTACATGACCCCTCCTGGTACAACATCATATTCAACATGAACCAAGTATTAAAGTTAACTGCTAAATTCTACCTTTTATATTTTCCAGCTCAAATGGCATCTCCATCTTCCTGTTAATTAAGAAGGAAGTGGAGATATTCCCTGGTCTTCCCCTCTCCCGCAGTCCCGCATCCCATTGCTCTTGAATCTCCATGACTCTGCATCCTAAATATCTCTGCCCACTCCTCCCATGGCCCCATTGGTCACCTCCTTGCTTCAGGCCAGCATCATCTCTCCCTGAATCTCTGCAGCCTGGCCTCCCAGGCTCCTGGCTCATCCCCCCCAATCCAGCCTCCACTGTGCAACTAGGAATCTTTCTAGAATGCAAACCCCATCTCATCTCTTCCACACACACACCCCACTGCCTTCAGGATACAATCCAAACTGCCACATACAGCTGAGACCATCCTTCAGCATCCAGCCGTCTCTCGCCTTAAAAAACAAAACAAAACAAAAACAAAACCTGCAGGCTCATTTCTCAAATTGTGTCTCCCAGTGCCACACTCTTGTCAGAGAAAACTATGTAAAGTTCTTCAAAAACACCAAGCTTGCTTTTCAGTAGATCTCAACCCTGGCAGCACCCCCGCCGCCCCTACACCTGTCAAAATTGAAAACACACTTGCCCAGGTCCTACTCCTGGGTGATCCTGACTCAGGAGGTCCATTGGGATCCCCGAGCCCACATCCTACAGATGATTCCCATGGCCAGGGTGGGGAACCACTGCCTTTTGCCTCCAGATTGTAAGCATGCTATTCCCTTTGCCCGGAATCCTCTTTTACCTCCTTCAACCACAGCCCCCTCACCACTGGCTAGAGCCTCTGCTTCCTTGAAGTCAAAGCTTGGATGCTCCTTCCTCCAGGAGCCTTCCTTGATCGTCCAGGTTAGGGCTCCCCACCATGCTCCTCTAAGCATTCATCATATTGTAATATAACTGCCTGATTTCTCATCTTCCACCCCAGACTCCAAGTCTGGGGGAAATAGGGATGGTGTGTCTGTCTTGCCCACCATTATACTTCCTGCGCTTGGCAGAGACCTGACACATGGTAGATACTCCAGAAATGTTTGCTACCAAAAAAAAAGTGGGGGGAGGTACAAATGAACAGATAATTGGACCAAAGGATGGCTGTGACGGTTTTCATGTCAAGTAAAAATTGCTGTCAAGCCAGCGAACAGATGAGCCGACTGGCCTGCAGAGGGCGCCAGGCTGCTTTGTAATCTCCTGGTCCAAGCCCGGGGAGTCGGTCCTGCTGTCAGTCAGAGACGCGCCTGACGCTCAATGGTCATTCCGCTGCGCTGAAGATTAAGTAGGAGTTGTTCGCCTCCAGCCAATGTATAAAAACTGAATGTTCACCCCTCACTCCTAACGACAGGTACCACATCCCCTGTCTTGCTATGAAAGCAGCCGTAACTGTAGCAACCAGTAGCTGGTTTTCTATTCCCAGGTGGGGATGAGAGAGGGGATACGTGGAAGAGAGAAGAGAGGAAGGTAAGAAGGAAGAGAGCTAAGAGGGTCTGTAAAACTGCTTGTCCTGAAGAAGCAGAGTTCCCTGTATGCCTCCAAGCTGACTTTCTTTCCCTCTCTCCCTCTCTCTCCATCCTTGGATTCTGGGAAAGAACAAAATCAAAATCTAAAATGGACAAGCATCCCCAAAAAGTACCTGGAAGGAGGTTTTTTTCTTTTCTGTAAGCAGCAACAGCAGCAGCAGCAGCCTCTGGACCCTGCTGGGGCCCCAGCTCAGCTCAGCCGTCTGTGTGCAATGAACGCTTCTGGCTGCCCGCTCTCTGCTCAACCCACGCTGCCTAATGGCCCGGGGCACCCCGCAACCCCTTCCGTCAGCAACCAGAGCGGCGGCGGGCTCTGCGAGCAGGTCTTCATCAAGCCGGAGGTCTTCCTGGCCCTGGGCATCGTCAGCCTGATGGAGAACATCCTGGTCATCCTGGCTGTGGTCAGGAACGGCAACCTGCACTCGCCCATGTACTTCTTCCTCTGCAGCCTGGCGGTGGCCGACATGCTAGTGAGCGTGTCCAACGCCCTGGAGACCATCATGATCGCCGTGGTCAACAGCGACTACCTAACCTTCGAGGACCAGTTCGTCCAGCACATGGACAACGTCTTCGACTCCATGATCTGCATCTCCCTGGTGGCCTCCATCTGCAACCTCCTGGCCATCGCGGTGGACAGGTACGTCACCATCTTCTACGCGCTGCGCTACCACAGCATCATGACGGTGCGTAAGGCCCTGGCGCTGATCGCGGCCATCTGGGTGTGCTGCGGCGTCTGCGGCGTGGTGTTCATCGTCTACTCCGAGAGCAAGATGGTCATCGTGTGCCTCATCACCATGTTCCTCACCATGCTGCTCCTCATGGGCACCCTCTACGTGCACATGTTCCTCTTCGCCCGGCTGCACGTCAAGCGCATCGCCGCGCTGCCGCCCGCCGGCGGGGTGGCCCCGCAGCAGCACTCGTGCATGAAGGGGGCGGTCACCATCACCATCCTGCTGGGGGTATTTATCTTCTGCTGGGCTCCCTTCTTTCTCCACCTCGTCCTCATCATCACCTGCCCCACCAACCCCTACTGTGTCTGCTACACTGCCCACTTCAACACCTACCTGGTCCTCATCATGTGCAACTCTGTCATAGACCCCCTGATCTACGCCTTCCGGAGCCTGGAACTGCGCAACACGTTTAAGGAGATCCTCTGCAGCTGCAGCGGCATGAACTTGGGGTAGGCTGCAGGGTCATGGAAGCCAGACACTGGTCTGCTCACTTCTGACCCTTTATCCAGCCAAGGTGTTTAGAAAGAAGGGAGAAAAACACTGAAAAGACATAAAAGTGGGCTAACGGTCATGATCATATGTGTCTTTTGTTTTTAAGCTTGTGAAAGGGAAAAAATGGTACCTAGCAGGCTCTCTGGAAGGATGGCAATATGGGTAAGTCACACACTCTGATCTGCCCAATAGTCAGTGGGGGGATCAGTGGAGGCTGCTCTGGGTGCCGAGCGCTCCTTTCCATGCATCCAGGGTCTGGGATGTCTGCCTGCGCACCTGCTCCCCATCCACACCTTCAGGCTTCAGGTCAGATTCCCACTAACAGCAAGAGGGTGTTGAATCTCTCCCAAGCAAACCCGTTACAGCTCCCAACCTCTGGCTGCAAGCTGCTTGGATGGCTTTTCCCGCATTTCATAAGCGACTGAGCTTCTAGTCTATTACTCTATTCACAGTAAAACAATTTCCCCAAAACAATTATCTCTTTGTGGAAAAAGTAATGCTATGCTGTTTGCCCTCTTCTTGACCCCTACCCCACACCAGCCTCCCCCTCAGAAAATAGCTCGGGATTGTAACCCACTTCTACTTTTGCTGTTATTGTTACTGGTGGGTAGTGGTGGTGTTGTGGGGGTTTTATGCATTCACCATAGGGCAGCTTTCAAAACTCTAATGAAAGAGAGAGGAAGTGCTTTAAAAAATCAGAACATATCTGTGTACAAAGTATTTTGAAACTTTGACATTTTAAGGTATCCATTTCCTTATTTTTAAAAAAGCTGTGTTTTCCGATTATTCCTTTTCTGTCTTTAAAACAGGAAAGGAAATTGTGGGTGGGAGGGCTTGTGTCTCGAGACACTACTTTCCTATAGTGTCAGAGGGTTGGAGGCTGTGAGCTGCCTGTGGCTTTCTCGGAAGCTTGCTCATAGTAACTATGTCTCATCACATGTTCTCTATGTGATGCGATCTGTGAAGGAGAATGGTTTTTGCTCTGTTGCTCCTTTTCCTCAACATGGTGTTCAAGTTGGATGACCCTGTTATCCAGGTCTGTACTTTCTCAAGTAAAGCAACTCATTTCTGTGAGCGTAGGAGGAGATTTGCTGACATCGCTGGGGGCTGCATGCATCCATCGGACCCCTTCCTGCCCCAGATGACTTCAGGCTGTGCTTTCCAGCTGTTCTCATGTACCCCTTGCATGAATTCTTATATTATGCTGTGTCTTTGGTGTACAACTGCGTATTTTTCTTGTGCTGGAATATTTGGGGGGGTTGTAGTTGATAATATGCTAATGTGAATAACATTAATTGCTTCTTATTTTGATTGTGATGTTTGGAAATAATAAAAGGCTTCTGTGGCTGATAAACGTGTGTCACATTAAAATACACCACCTGGAAGTATCCTGGTGACTTCTGACGACCATCCTATGTCACGCTGCAATTCCATGACTATTTTGTAAATGGTATAAACATCCCCACTGACCACAGTGCTAGTCTTTTCTAGGGCAATGCTTTTTAGCCAAACTACAAAACTCTCCCATTTAGTTTCCAAAAATACCGGCTGAAATTCCTGGGCCACTGTCACTCTCCATTATCTTAATCGAGACTCCAAATAATAGACTTATCCATTGCTACTCAGCAAGTTAATGTGGAAAATGGGGAGTCAAAGTCTTTGAAAATTGTTTTAACAGCTGCAGGAATCATGGTGTCCTTTTTCTATGTAAACAAGATTAAAATAAGGTACTTTTCACTCTTTTATGCCAGCTTTCATGTTATTTCATTTATCCTCTCAACAAACCTCTAAAAAAGGTGAGTCCTTTTACAGATGAAGAAAGTGAGTCCCAGAGGGGTTACCTGGTCGCCCAGGAGAGCCCGGCTAAGTTAGGGTCACTATGTATTTTATGCCCTGCTGCTGCTTTTTGCACCAATACGATGCTGCCAACAGGTTTCCATAATCAACACAGATGCAGTGGTCCATCCTATATACATTTTAGCTGAGAGCAATGCTTCCAAACAGAAACACTTGCTGGAATCACTCAGGATCTTGTTCAAGGGTAAAAGCTAATTCAGCAGGTCTTGAATGGAGCCTAAGATTCCGCATTTCTGACTCTGTCAAGCTCCAGGGGATGTGGCAGCTGGTCTGGGGAACCACCTTTTAAGCAGCAAGGGCATAGAGGACTTTCACATGACCATAACCCAGAGGCAAAAATACATGTCTGCATAAAGTGCTGACTCACGCCAGCAACTGTGCTAAGTCCCTTACAGGCGCTCATTTCTTTGGCCACTGCAATAATAACCCCTGGAGGCAACACCTAGAATCATCCTTATTTTACAGATGGGGCATCTGAAACTCAGGTCAAGGAGCTTGTCTATAAAAACTCAGCTACAAGTGGAGAAGTGGAGATTCAAACTCGGGCTGCCCAACCCACAGCCCCAAGTCCAACCTGGACACCCTAACACCCGGAAACAGTACGCACAGTTGAGCCATGACCCAGTGCCATCGGAGGCACGTGCTGCCACGGAGGGAAACTTTAATACAGATTTTACAACCACGAGTCCAGATGTTCATAACAGCTTCCACAGAGCTGTCATAAAAACCTGAAAGACAATTGATCATTTCACTTGCTACACTTATCCAAAGCCCGTGGGTAGCCCTGGGAGTACATCCATTTCTGGGGTGAACAACCCTGGACCTTAGGCTGTCACCGTCCCACTTTCCCAGATCTTCTTCATGTGGGAACCCACTGTACATTTGAAGCAGTGGGACAGTCAGGTTTGAAAATGTTTAATTTGGGGAAATAAAAGCACATTGTGATTTTAATTCATGTTCACTTTCACGCACTACTTCCAAGGCAGAATCACTGCAGTGACTGACTCCCTGAGCTCCTAAAAAAATCACTGCCTATTGTCCTTATTTAAGTTGAACTTTTGAGCTTAATTGTGATGTTCTTCTGTAGGGCTAGGGGCTATAACACACTCAAACCTCCTTGGCTGAAAACATTTATCCACTCTTACCTCCACTAAAGTCCGTTCTCTACACAGCAGCCAGTGCAATCATTTAAAAAATCTAAACCAGATCACATCACACTCCTGCTCAAAACTCCTCAGTGGCTTTAAATAAAATTCCACTTCCTTACCCTGCCCTACAAAGCCCTAATGATCTGATCTCCTCCAGTAAGCCCCCTGCCCTCACTCGTACCTGTACTCACCCCTCACTGGACTCAAACTCATGGTACTCATTCCTGCCCCAGGGCCTTTGCACCAGCTGTTTCCCCTATTGGAAGTCTTTTTCTCCACATAGTCTCATGATCATAAACTTCTTATCATTCAGGCTCCAGCCCAATTCTCACAGATGCCTTCCCTGCTCTCTTTCTAAAGAAGACCCTGGTCACTCACATGAAGTACTGTTTTATCACAGATCTTATACCTACTTTATATTTTCTTGTTAATTTATTTGTTTAATTATCATCAACCTCTCGCACTAGAAAGCAGTAATTTGCATGTTAAAACTGGTCAATAAAAATATGTTGAATGAATAAGTGACTTCATTAATACACTTAAATACGAGTCCAAGTCTACCCAAAGAGAATGTAACACCAGTGATCCTCAAATTTGGTGAATATCAGTACCAATGGGGAATCTGAGAAAATAAGACTGTTCTCTGAAACCTGTGACTCAGATCAGAGGTAACGTTAGGCATCTGAAAATTTCAAGAACCGCAAGTGATTACGATGCACACCAAACTTGGAGAATCACCTAAACCAGCAAGCACCACTGATTTCTTAAGACTAACAAAAACCATCACCCCAGGAGCTTAAACTTCTTTCCCATCACCATTTCCTGTCAGGATGTAAGTGCCCACAACTGATATTGGGCCACTCAAGAACCAAGAGAAATCTAGAAACCAGGAAGAAACAGATGACAAAACACAGGGGGGAAAAAAAGCAAACCCTTCAAATGAAGAACTCAAGCTTTCTCCCATAAGAACACTTATTTGGGAGCCAAATCAATTTTAAAAATGATAATCATAAAAGACATTACATGGTATTGTTATGTGCCAGAAAACTTAGACATGCTAACCCATTGAATTCTCACCAAAACCCTCTGAGGTTAAGCACTAACGTCCCGTCCTATAGAAATGGAAGCCTAGGATCACGGAGAAGGTTGATCACCTTGATCCAGGCTACTCAGACTGCGAGGAGCAGCGCTGGTGCTAAGCCACAGTCAGGCGCCAGGTCCACACAGGGCCCGCAGTGCTATCCCACCATGCGCTGTGGCACATGGCCCAGAGATGCTCCCCAGGCTTGAACGGGCTTCAGCACAGCTCTCAGCCCCGTAGAGTTCCCAACAGAGAACGTCCCACACTGTTTAATTTTTCTGTTAACTTCTCTCTCTTTTCTACTAGGCTGCTAGCTACACTGAACACAGAAAGGCTGACAGAGCACCAGGAAATTCAACAAGGTAAGTGTGGACCTGTGGCACAGGGGTCTTTGTTTCCGGGCTGATTTTGTTTTCTAGGCTCTGAGGTCAAACAGATCTGTTATGGAATCTGGCATCTTCTACTTACTGCATGATCAATGTAAATTCTCATAAACTAAGTAGCAATCTGACAGCTGCCAAACTGGGATTTTATTTTATAATTAAATGAAATTATTTTTTCTTGGCATGAGGGGGTCTCTCTGGGGTGTTGGAAGCATTTGATTACTCAACCCATTTATGAAAATACTTTTTCTTCTTTTAACTGAAATATAATTGATGTACAATGTATTAGTTTCAGGTGTATTACATAGTCTTTTGACATTTGCATCCATTATGAAATGATCACCATAAGTCCCCATACAAAGTAACTACAGTATTATTGAGCACATTCTTTATGCTGTGTATTATATCCTAGCGGCTTACGTATAATAAAACTGGAAATTTGTACCTCTTAATCCCCTTTGTCTATTTTACCTTCCCCACCCCCACCCCTCTGGCAGCAATTTGTTCTCTGTATCTACGAGTGTTTTCATTTTCATTTTTAGTTAGTTGTCTTTGCAAATCTAATCTT